ATTTTTTCTGGTTAATTTTTTTTAAAAATTTTTTTTAATTTTTTTAGGGAACCCCTCTATAAAAATATAAATTTTTTCTTTTTATAATGTGTGCTTAATACTAAAAAGCACTTTTCTTTAACTCTAAATGAACTTTAATTTTTTTTATCGGTGATATGATTTGACAATTTTGTTTCTTTAAATACTATTGCGAGTCAGATTACTATCAGATTTGAATTAATAGAGTATGTACGCATTGTTCTTTAAAAGTTAGAATATCTTGTTTTTTTATTTATTAGTTCAAAGTAGAGATTTGATTTTCAAAGAATATATATTCCCCAATTTAATAGAAAGAGCTTTTAGGTTTTTTTGAAAATAAAACGTGTCCATACATAAACACTTTTTTTTCTCTCATTCTTTTCATACTATAAAGAAACATAAAATGATAGAAAATGTTTCCCGTTTACTATACGCACAGGCACTAGATTCTAATTGATGTAGAAAAAGAAAAAGAAGAAAATGAAATATTTTTTCTGTTTTCGTTATTCATATATTTTTGTATGCTTTTTTCAAAATTTACTAGGTTTTTTGTTTATTAATAAGAGTCATCATCATCATCATCATGTAAGTAAAAAATCATCTTGTTGTTTCTGTTTTTTATGCTAGCGGGTTTGAAAACGTTTAACAATAATGAAAAGCATTCAGGCATATAAAAAAAGAAAAAATATATATATAGAAATTAGTAATATCCTATATTTAGAATTTTGTTTATCTAATAAACTTAATAGACTTTAGAAAAGTTTACAAGCGAAAAGAAAATGACAACTTGAAATTTATTTATGTCTGTCAGAAGTTATTGGAAACGATGAATCAATAACTGAACATCTTTGATAATTGTGAAAACTAAAAATGATATTTTAATAATTCAGTTACGTTAAGATGTACAATGAAATTACAATCCACCTTCAATGTTCTAAAATGATTTCTAAATCTCAATGTAATCTTAACGATTGTAATGATATTTTTTTCATTCACTAGCATGGTCGACTTCTGTTCTCCACGAGTGTCGGTTAATGCTATTGTGTCAAGAGAACTAAAACTAGTATTGAAGGGAATCAATTTTAGTTCTGTGATTCTTCAGAGTCTAACTATATATTTATCTATGCTACAGATGAAGGTACCAGTATGATCGTTGGAAATTCTTGTTATTTCTACCCATTCCAACCGTGGCTTCTTTCTCTTACGCGATTTCTTCGATATTCATGGATATGAGCTCTACAAAATGCGTTCAAATTAAAGAAAAGCATACTGAACTTCTGGAATAGAACACGGTTTTGAAACCTTCTTGTTTAGATTAATGAATGATAATTGTAGTATTTCTGTGTTCGTACGTACCTAGTGAGACTTCGTTAGAGTTTATCAGAATTCAATGCGCTATCAAAATACGAACAAGATAATATTGTCTAATTCTACGAGATGAGTGCAGTCAGAGCTGGAACTGGTTGAGAAAAGATAAGCCGGGGGAATTATAACTCAACCGACGAAAAACCGGCGAAAACCTAGAGAAGTTTTTTGAAAATCGATTTTTGGAAAGAATTTCTCCCAGAAATGAAGTACTTTGCGGGCACATGTGAGAGAACCTTCACAATAACGAGTCTATAATATTTAACCTTAAAACAAGTGAAGAAAATAATATCTGTCTTGAGCATCGTCTTATTTATTCTGACTGAAAAATATGTGAAATTTTAGTTTTTTTGACGAAAAACAGTGTAAAAAGAGCAGATATTTCAAAACTTTCAACCGGTGAAATACCGGTCTTTATCGGCCCGGTTGACTTTTTCAACCCAGCACAAATTCCATCTCTGAGTGTGATGATAAGTGCACTTTAAAGAATTAATTTATGTTATTCACCGTACGTTTACGCCTTAAACCGACTGTCTATCTCTCTGTTAATTATCGATTAGAACGTTATAAACGTTTAACCAAAAATTAACATCATCACTCCTTAGGTAACATAGGGCGTGGTTGTTGATTTTTGAGTACAAAAAAACGTACACTACTAACGAACAGAAAATATTTAGTTCGGAACTATGTATATTAATCACAGAGAAAATGAAAGGCACTGTATATTACTACATTTGTATGCTAAAAATTATACTTGTTATAATTGCTGTCAGCTATACTCAAGTAAATATTGTCTGCTTTTCTATTATAGGAGAACAGCTGTTTGACTGACTGACATATAGTTTTTATTATTCTGCATATAGTCTCCTCTTCCCATTTTTCTATATAATGGATCGTTCACCAAAACATGCTTACTATCCAACTAAACCTCAATCACAAGAAGAAACAATAAATTCAAACACTGTTGATTTATTACCCGTACTGGTAGATATCAATGATAGTTATAAAACTATTCGTGAATTAGGATCAGGTACATACGGTCGCGTACTACTCGCCTATAATCGTGATCAACAACAACGATGTGCACTTAAAATTTTACCAAAATCTACTACAAAATTTCGTGATTTTCAACGTGAATATAATTATTCACTAATATTGACATCCCATCGTAGTATTATATCGACATTTGAAACATGTTATCAAACACAAGATTCATATATTCTTGTACAAGAATATGCACCTCTCGGTGATCTATTCGAATCAATACCACCACAAAGAGGTTTACCAGAAAAACATGCAAAGATTATTATGAAACAAATTGCATCAGCTCTAGAATTTATGCACGATAAAGGATTGGTAAGTTTCATTTGATTTGATGAAAGATTCAGAAGTTCTTTTGAATAAAAAAATACTTTAGAATTGTATCTGAATGATTTACAATAATTACAATAAAATAACCGTTCAACAGTTATTTTGATGTAATTATTGTTTTATCGCAACTTGGATTACTTCGATATCGTTGAATTGAGACTATATTCTACAGTTCGAAGTTTTTTTCTTTCTAAACTAAACTTCACAGAAAAGAATAACATGTTGGTCATTGTATACATTTATAGTTCAATCATTTGATACAATAAATGGTTATAAAACAACATTCTGATTATAAATGTAATCAATCAGTGTAAACTCAATTTAAACTTAATTTTCATATTGATGAATAGAATCGTTCAATTTCTAGAAGTGTACGATGCGCGATAAGAATAAATATAAAGTAAAGAAGACGAGAAGCTTTAGAATAGCAACGAATAAGAATAATATATAGATGTTACACATAGAAGAAAAATGAACAAAATTTTAATCTCTATGATGTAAAATATCGTGCAGAAAAGATTTTATGTCGTGTAGAGTATCTTTTCATCAGTTGATACAATTGTTTTTTTCTATAAAAAAAAATTCTGATGAAACAAAGCGTATGCTAATATTTCTAAATAGTATAAGAATAATAACATAAAAATAAAAAACCATCGGAAATAACATGTTTATCAGAGTTTTTAAGAATACATAGCAGTAGGAGAGAATAAACTTACTACATAAACAATCTAACATATGCACGTAAAGATCAAGAACTTATTGAGTTCATGCGTACATGTAGCGTATTATGCAGATGAACTGCTACATTTATTCTCGTAAACATTTAAATGTACGAGAGGACACTAATTTTCGTGCGAACAGAAATCGGATTGTTTGACAGATCACTTTTAACAAAAATCTAACTTATGATATCCGTTTCGCTTGGTCCCAAAAGAGATAATAATATCAAAAGCTGCTGTGGCGGCGGCGGCGTACATGAGAGTGAGTCACAAAGAGCTATTAAAAACTATTATCTCGTTTGGTCCCTAGCCATCCGTTCTACTATTTCAAAGAACTTTATAAACACTGATCCAAAAGACTTAAAACTCTAGTTGGGCTACTGGACGAGAAGACAAAATGACAATTTTTATTTTGCTGTCATAAATGAAAAATATATATAAATTCATTGATTTATATAGAAAATTGAAATAAATAAATTATAAAACAGTAAAAAAAATAAATTTTAATGAAGCTGGATGGGATCTGAAGAAATTAAATGTCAGTTTTTCTCGTCATTTGCTTCATTTTAACAAATCAGTTTCTTAACGGTTCGTTTTGCACAATGTTAACATAATTCGCTGTCACATTTTTTTTATCATTGAAGATTGTTTTTTATTTAGCAGATGAATTGTTTTAAACATTAGTGTTCTAAACTTCTGTAATTTTATATTTTCAGATTCATCGTGATGTTAAACCAGAAAATGTGATGATATTTGATGCTGATTTTCATAAAGTAAAACTCATTGATTTCGGTATGACACGTAAATGTGGTTCATATGTGAGACGACTTGTCGGTTCGATTCCCTATTCCCCACCAGAAGTTTGTGAAGCAACAACAAACGATATTCTCGTGACATCAGCAATGGATATTTGGGCATTTGGTGTATTACTATTTTGTACACTAACAGGTAGGATGGATTTTTTTTGTACATAATGAAATAGAAAAAAATTAATAGAATCTGAATTTAAATAGGAAATTTTCCATGGGAACATGCTCAAATAACAGATATCTACTATAATGAATTTTTAATGTGGCAAAAACATCAACGACGAAAATTACCATCACAGTGGTTCAGATTTACACCAAGATTAATGAGATTATTTAATAAAATGTTAGGTAAGATAAATTAATAATGATGTTCATGTTGTTAACTTAAATTATCGGATTATTTTTATCCGGATGAAATAAATAGTTAGAAATTTTAATCATCACTTCAATAATAGATTAAATTCAATTCAAGGCTATAAAAAAATTTCCTAATTAAACTATGTTAACAATGACAATATTTTACTTATTTTAGATCCTGTATCTGAAAGTCGTTGTGAAATAAGTGAAATATGTAAATATTACGACGATCGTTGGATTAGTGAAACTGTACGACGTCGTCCATCACATGAAGATGAAGGTGTCGAAGAAGATTATTCGAGTGGCGGTTCAATAAGTGGTACAGATCTAGAAGAAATAACAAAAATGATGAAAGATTACGGTCTTGATCAACATAATCAAAATCAACCGCATCTTCATTCCTCGATTGACATTCCGGATATAAATAATCAAGCTTTATCAGATAATTCATATTTTATCAAAAAACAGCATAATAGTGATGTATTTTCTCATCATCAACATAAATATATATCATAATTCATAATAATGTTTTTCTACATAGTGAAAATTACATAAAAATCGTTAATCCGTATTTAAAATAATCGTTCAAACGTGCGAAATACAGTAAAACAGTGAATAAAATAAAACAGTGATTATTTAATAAAATAATTTAACTTCAATTATATGTATTCTGGAGAACACTTCTTATTGATCAATTTAACATCTCAATGATCATCTACAGATATGCATAGACATAGAATTTTTAAGACATCTGGTATGTCACAAAATTAAATTTGATATTATACTATCAATAGTCCGTCCTCCTTTATCGTTTGAATGTCAATTTATTATTGTTGTTTTTGTTTTATTTATTTGCTTTGTAAAATTATTTAATTCTTAAAAAAAATAATGGTTGGCTATTATGGGAAAATATATGAGAAAGACTTATGAAGTGTTAGTTTTGAGTAAAAGATGACGTTTGTTTACTAAAACATGCAAAGGTATTTTTATCAACAAAGAATAAGGATAAATATCGATATTTATAATAATTCTATATTAAAAATTTACAAAGACTATTGTTCTTTTTAAAGTATTTACGATTTACTATTCCTCTTTTTGGATACTGATATATATTTTTCTGTGTACTTTTTTGAGCCATATCCATAAATAGGATAAACTTAATTTTAAACTTTCTGTCTATGTAAAAAGTTTTGACATCGCAAACGAGTTCAAATGTGATCAAAGAGAGAAACGTATCAGATTCTAAAGCATAAAAATTTAGTCTATCGAAGATTGTGAACGTATTTTTACAATTGCAAACGTCCATGTGGATAGTCATCAACATTTATTTATGATCAATATATTTAGGCTATACAGGTCAACTATGGGATAATATACCTCACTATTGAAGCTATTTGTTGCTTGGAAATATTTCAATTAAACGAAAAACCGTCAAAGTAACATGTTATGCTAAGAAATTTATTGTAAAAATTTGATAACATCGTAACTTCTGAATAGATTAAGAAAACTAGTGCATTATATCAGCGAGAAATTTTTCTAGGCTCCATGGGAGAATATAGAAAAACGTTATTTAAATGATATTTTTCGTAAAATTAACGCGTTAAAGCCCATGGCGATAGTTTAAATAGATTATAACATCTAATGAAGTGAAATAAGTAGTAATTAAAACGTCTAGACACTTGAAAAGCATAAATGTGGTATTAGATCAAACTAGGGTTTCCTTTTCTTCGGTCACAGAATCACAAAGACTGTTCGCTTTGAGCTAAACTTTTTATTACAGCTGAATTTTCGAAATAGATTAGGCATATTTTTGCTCAGTCTCACAAAATCACTTTTTAGTAAAATCTTCTGAATGATTCTAATTTTCACAGCACTTAGACAGATCCCACCAAAAACTTTGCTTTGGTTTGGAGATTTTATCAATGATTTCTCTTGTCTATGCAACAAGAAAGTACGGGGATCCCCATGAATTTGTCAACGTCTATAAAAGAACAAGTGAAAAACTATAGAAGAAAACGTGTAAAAATTGTAAATCAAAAGGCATACAAACTTATTAATGGCTAGTATACCTTCTTCTAAGCTTTCTGCTTCTCAATCAAAGAAACCCGAAAAACTGCAAAATCTATAATAGATTTTAACTTATTTCTTATGCTGGTATTTTAAACACAGCACTCAATTTGATTGAGGTTGTTCAGCACTATGTTGTTGAACAACATGAAATTTCACATAGTTTATTCCTGATAAATGTAGAATTTTACGCCGTTTGAGGCTGATTGATGTAAAATTGTTTGCCGATCTACACTATAGTACCTTACAAGTGCCAGATGGATCTCAACTACCAAAATTAACCAAAGAACTCATACCATGTATTCAACCGGGTACTGTTTTCTTTGTAGATTCGCCAGATATTGAAGTATTTTTAAAAGATTATCATCAAAACATTAAGGTTGATTATATATTAATTACGGGCGATTCTGATCAGACAACTCCAGCACATCTGGCTATGAAAGGCAACACAAATTTACTAATAGGTATCTGAGAAATGTATGTACCAAATTCGAATGTTTGATTCATCAAATTATGCATAACTATCTCAGTTTCGTTCTAGACAATATATAGAATGGTAAAACATATGCTATTCATTGGTTTGTTATAAATTGTGACCTTGGTGACATATGGCATCATAAAACACAACATTTTACGTGTATATCAAATGAACTAAGTCAAAGGAATAATCAACGGTATTACATAGAACTAGCGTCAAAGTTCAGTTACATAAAGTCGACTTATTACTTACTTCGTTCAATCCACGATCGAATGAAAGAATACGATAGCCATTATGGGATTTTACATGTAAGGGTAAATTAAGAAATGTTTACTTTTGAGTGTTTATTTATTTAAGTAGCAAAGCAAATTTACTCTATCGCCACCGGGTAAGTGAAACAAAAATGTTGGAACATTTATAAAGAAAATAATCTATCTGAAATGTATAGCGTGCCGGACTTTCTCTAATAATCGGCGGTAATTTTCCTAAAGATATCCGTTTGTTTTTCATTTAGGTATCGGTGTCTAATCTAAAAAACAATTTATGTTTAAGAGTATAACAATACCCGAGTACACTGTAAAAAACAGTCATAGATTAATAAACTATCAAAAAGGGTTTATTGAGTCCAATAAACCTTTTAAAAAACGCTTTTCCGCTTTTTATATCCAAAAAACTAAAAAGCGTTCGTAACAGATGCAAAATGAAAAACAAGCGATTTTTTATCAAAAATAAAAAACCCTTTTCGGTTTTTTGTCGAGTCTAAAATATCAGCTAAAAAACTGACTTCAGTAAAAAACTGCCCGTTTTTCATTTTGCATCTGTCACGAACGCTTTTTAGTTTTTTGGATATAAAAAACGGAAAAGCGTT